CAAATATGTCAAGGTAAGATTAATTGAGTTGACAAAGATTGAATACTTCCTTCAAAAGATTTAGATTCAATTTTTGTTGCTAATAATATTTTTTTTATGAACGATATGTAAATTTAATATAAAATTAAAATTATCGTCGAGACTTATGATATAGCTTGACTTTAAAATAAGTAACCTTTTCTCACCTAAACTTAAAGAAAAAATTGTGTGGGAGATTAAATCACCCCACAATAAAAAATTTTCTTTCTCTTTTTAAAAATCAATTTACCTAATTTCTTGATGCAATTGCCTATTGAAGCCCGTTCTACAACATAATTTATATAATTTAAAAAATAATATATAATTTCACATTAAAAATGTAAAAAATTATTGAAATTTTATATATAGTATAGGATGGTTTTAAATGAGTTAATATCATTAATAATTATAATAAATGCTTGATATGGTATCTAAATTTTAAAAATTTTTATTGTGATACTTAAATTATGAATATATTAATTAATATAATTAATTTCAAATGATAATATGTGATGAATAAATATCTCTTTAAATATTTTATTAGTTAATATATTCATAATTTAAATATTATATTAAAAATTTTTAAAATTTAAATATTACATTAAATATTTTATTATATTTTAAAAATCATTTATGATATTAATCAATTTTAAATTTATGCATAAAATTTTTTTTGTGAGAAAATTTACCCAAAAAAATTAATGTCGAAATAAAAACCTTAATAAATATCATTACCACACTCAACAACAACACCTAAAAGGCAAAAAAGAAAGACTCAGAAGTAAAAAAGTACAAAAATAAATTATGTCTGGTCTGTCTTTGCATCCTTGGTTTTGAGGCCATACAATGAGAATTAAATGGCATTGAATTTTATTGCCTTGTTTCACACTCCTAAAGCACTAAAAGAGAGATCTATACATCCCATCTTTCGATGCTTGGAAATTTATATAAATATATATTTACATATTTTTTGGGGGGAGGGGAATTAAAATTTTTTTTTGGATTAGGTGTCTAAATGTAATTATTAAAATAATCACCTTAATCAATACCAAATGACATTGGTTAATAATTTTTGTTTTGTTTTGGGTTATGGGATGAAATTATTGTAGGCAAAATTAATCTAATTTGACTTAAAATCCATTAACCAGACCATTATTTTGAATAAAGCAATTGTTAAAGTAATTGATTGTTTGATTATTTGTCAATTTAATAAAAATAAATATTAATAAAATTATTATTTATTACTTTACTATCATTTATAATTAATAAAATAATTAAACATAGTACAAAATAACATTGCTTTTAAAATAATTTGAAAATAATATCAAAGGCAAAGCTCATGAAAGATATTTTAACATGCAAATTGAGGTCAAATGATAAAAAAAAAAAAATTCTAAAACACCCATTCATTCCAATAATATTCACACCAATAATTTTTCATGATAAATTTACTATGAAAACTTTAATTTTCCTTTTTAGAAACCTTTAACTACAAAGGATATGAGCATTTTGGTTCTTGGATTATAGCTATTGGATATTTTAGTTTTAATATTGTAGTAAAGTCAAATTCAATTGGGTGTCATTTTGTTGGGTTAATTTGCACTAATAAAGCTTTTAAAATACATTTTCATGGATGGCTTTAGAAATGAAAAAATTTGACTTAGAAATTTTCACCTTAAAAAAAATTGTTTTTCCTTCACTAAAAATTTAATTTATGTTTTACATGCACGAACACATACATAAATAATAAAATTATTAATTAAAATTACAGTATATGTGCTTCTAATTTACAATGGTTGAAATTTATTTGGAATTGAAACAATTCATGTCATGGACATTTCACTATCATAATAAATTCATTAAAATTGAGATTTGAGACCAAATTGGGTTGGAAGAATTTTATTTATTTTTAAAATATTGCTATTAAATTAAGCAAAATTTAATGTGGTTTAAGCATTTATTCATATCAATGAATTTTATTCCCAACTCCAATTAAATTGTGTATCTAATAGCTTTCACCAAAAAAAAGAAAGTTGAGATAATAAATAATAAATTCTTAATAATTTTTTTTTATGTTCAATACTTTAAAATTTCTCATAATTTTAAAAATTTTGACTCAAAATTTTTTCCCTATCCTCCTAAAAAAATACACTGATAATTAGAAAAAAAAAAAGAACAAATATTTAATTCAATAATAGATGCATTTATTTGTCGAATTCAAGTAAATAGATTCGAATCTCTTTCTATTTTTTCCTAAAATTGTATGATGATCTAAAGGATAATGTTCCCCGTGAAATATAATTGATTTATGAAAATTCATGTAAGTGTAAATGTCTACCTTCCCTTCTTTACTACCACACCATCCTCCATGATTCCCTCCCACTTTCACATCTTGAATTCAAAATCTACCACTTCACAACTTTTTCCCACCTTCCAAACACTTCAATTTGTTTCAAACACCAAAAAAATAATAATAATAATAAACCCTTCAAAATCTGGCATGGAAGCACTGTTTTGTGTGAAAATTTTGCATCATGGGTACCACCCCAACAAACTTCAATATTTGAAGAAATCCACTAAATTGAATCAATGGGTCCCTATTTCTTAACATGCTCAAACCCAAATTCCGACCAAAGCTCCTTTTCATAATTATACTTAATTAACCTTAATTAGTGAATCTGAAATTTAATCAAATGATTCATTCACTTTTTTTTTAATTCTCACAAAGTTGACATTCGATTTTAATATTTATCATTTTTATTTTTAATCTTTTAAGCTCCGATCTCTCTTATATTAAAAAAAAAAAAAGTTTCTATGACCAATGTAAAACCCTTGAAAACAAGCAGAAACAATATAAAACGCATATAAATTTCATAAAAAATTTAAAAAGTAAAAAAAAAAAGAAAAAAGTAATGGTAATGGAGGGCAATATGGTCAGATAAAGAAGTTGACCCTTTTTAGGAGTCTCCGACAATAGCCTTTGAAAGAAGATGAGGTTCACTGTAACACGTTTGAATAGAAAAAAAAAACAATAATAATAAAAGTATTTTTATATTTGAACCAAAGACTTGGACGTTTTCCATTACAGTGTAAACCACCGTTAAACCCACGTTGGCGGGTTTTATTTTATCGTCTTAAGAAATTAAAACCGTTAAATAACGCCGTTAAAACACATGCTATTGAAAGAGGAGCAATTTCACATAATATTTGTTCAAATTTTAAAAATTTTGAGTTCGAATTTTAATTGTACTTTATAGTATAAAAATATATATTAAATTAAAAATAAGATATTTTGTTATTTTTTAAAAAAAATTATTATGTTTGAAATTTTATTTAAAATTTTATAAACAAATTATTACATATTTATTAGAGTATATTTAAAAAAATAATAAATTAATATAAACACATGTAATAAAATTTTAATTCGTTTATAAAATTTAAAAGTTTCATTAATTAATAGAATGTTAAAGTAGTCATCCTATTATTTTTTTTAAAATTTTTTGTAGATAATTAACTCAAAATTGGAAAATTGTAAATATTATAGTTATAGTATGCTTTTAATGGTAAAGCATGATTATCATGGTATTATTTTAAACAAAGTTTGTTGTTGAAAATTTGGACCAACAAGCATGATCAAAATGAATCAAGTAATTAGGATATTCTTAACACCTTATTTTTTTTAAACATCATATCTAACTCTTTTTTTATTATTTTATACATTAACAATAAAATTATTAAATTTCATAAATGTATAGTTAAAATTTTAATATAATTATTATTTAATATACACTCAAATTTTGCAAGTAAAATTATTTTATTGTTATGTGTTCATGTTGCTATTATATTAATTAAATACAAAAATAAGAAAAAGGAAGAATTAATACCAAAAATATTTGTAGGATAATGTAACGCCGTGAAGGAAGAAAAAGATGGCGTTAAAGTTAAAAACTGAAAAAACTGTCTTTTATGAACAGCCAACAGCTCAATTTTACAAATAAATAAATAAATAGAAGATTAAAAAAAAAAAAACAACACAGCTTTCAATGCCTGAGAGCTAAATAAAAGGGAAATCACAGAAAACATTTTGGCTGCTACTAAGACGCACTAAAATAGAAGAGAGAGAGAAAGACTGTAAGGAAAGAAGAAGAAGAAGAAGAGAGAAAAAGGGTTTCAAGATCTTGTCAGATCAAGCTAGAAAAAACTGTAAGAGAAATATATATATATATATATATAATATATCAAAGGTTCTTTTTTTTTTTTTGCTTTGGTTTTTTGGTTTTAACATAAGCAATGTGGTTTGATCTGCTTAACTGAATTTTCTTTTGCTGTAATTTTCCAGGAATTTTGCTTCTTTCTCTCATGTTTTCTGGTTTTTTTCTTTAACCTTTATCTTATTAACGTTAGCTCTTGTAATGGTACGGGTTTTTTTTGGGAGGGGTGTGTTTTTTTTTTGTGAATGTTTGGTAAGAAATGAAGAGTTCTGGGAAAATTTTCCTTTTCTCTCTGTCCATCTGGGGTTTTTCAATTCTGGGTTTTCAAAGTTTGGTCTAAAAGTGCTAGATTTGTGGAATTTTTTAGCTCCCTAAAGTTAAATGTAAAGTCTTTTTTCTTTTTTTTTTTTTTCATTTATGTGAATGTTTGCAAAGAAATAGGGAGTCTTGTTAAAGCTTTCTTCTTTCTCCTGGATTTTGATTTCTGAGTCTTCCTTTTTTTTTTTGGTCTAAAAGTTTTGGATTTGTTGATTTTTTTTATTTTTTTGGTTTCTGGCTTTCTCATGTTTTTGCTCATGCATGATTCATTTCTTTTTTTTTTTTTTTTTTGGTTCTTTTATTTGTGTTTGCTAAATGAAATACACAATTTTTTGGTTGACTTATCTTCTCTGTTTGTCCTGTCTCTGAATTAACTTAAGTGTTTTGTTTCCTTATATATATTATTTATAAGCTAACCTGAAAGATGATGCTTTATTTTTTTTCCTCTTTCGGGCTTCATACATCTTTATTTTCTCTTTTCATTCAAAAAAGAGAGATTTTGTTTCTTTTTCTTAGATATCTTTCCCTTTTTGTGTTATACTCTACTTGTTGCAATTACCTGTGAAGGAAACATCTTTGCATACTAAAGTAGAGTCTTAAGTTCCCTATAATTTGTATGTGAAAGTTTCATTTCATGGGAACTTCCAAATGATTCCATCAATCCTCTTCTAGATTCTTCTTTGGAGAATACCCTGGTTACCTTTTTGTATCCCAAGGTTGAGACAAAGTGAAAGTATTGCAATGTTTTGAAAAGATTAGGGATTCTTTGGGAATAAAAGATTTTTATCACTTGATGTAAATGTTGTGGCTGTTGGAAAACTTCTGCATTAAGAAGAGACAAAATTAGGTAATAACGAATGTAAAGTAATTACCATTCATTCTCAATTAGGATTGCATGTTTGAGCTTGGATGTGGAATTCATACTGCAGATCATGAGCGGATCTATATGAAAAATAGGTTTTATTTGATATGCGGGTTTTCAGTCCATGGGTTATATATGCGCAAGGAAACTTGTTTTGAATCTCTTATAACCATGTAGTACTTGTTATTCTAAGTGCAATTCTTGTTTTGGCAACTTTAAATTGCCTGCAGCTGTTGTTTTTCAATGTCATGTATATTGTCTCTTTGTTTGAGATTTAAGTAGATGAAACATCTGATGAATATTGACACAATATGCAAATGAATTATATGTTTAACTTTCTTTTGTTTATTTCTCTTTTCCAGTAGTTCCCTTATATATTTTAGTACATGAATGAAGTTTGCCTTTTCTGAGCTAAAAGATTTCCATTTTCATGGTATTCTGAAGCTCAACTTATTCTAACGCAGTTGTGATGGGGAGGGAACTAACAGATGTTCACATGGACAATAAGCCAAACAGTGTAGTGAAATCAAATGGTCTGGTGACTTCAAATGGTAATCCAAGAGTTTCGGAGGGCACTGAGTCAAATAACTATGAGGTCAACAAATGCACCGCAGAAAACTCAGTCATTGAGAATGGTCATGAGAAGCAAGATGTGCTGAGTGTTAAAAGCACAAATTTTGGTACTGACATCCCTGAAGGGAAAAATGAAAAGGCTGAAGATCAGAAGCCCACTGACAATAAGAAGTTAAGCACCACTGCATCAAAATCCAGTGGTGCTGGAAATACTCATGTGCACCACACTACCTCCAAAACCTGTTCAAATGGCACAGCAAATGTTAACTCTACACCGTCCCCTACTGCTAGAAAAAAGTCAGAGGTAACTAAAATTCTTGAGTAAGGATGAAATTTCTGATCCAGTGAATACAACATGGACCTTTGTTTGACTTAAATCTAATCCCATTTATTTATGATTTAGTTCAGTTAAGACAATGCTGGTTAGCAATGTTCTACATAAGAGGTCTGACCAGTAGGAAAATGATTATGCCCTTAAAGAAGGACCTTTCACCTTTTTATCTGCAGTAAGAGATTTCCAAATATGGCAATAGGGAATTTTCTGAAAGGAAACTTAGCAATAATATGGAATTTTCTTTCCTAATCTTATCTGGGCCTTACAGTCTTTTTTACATGCATGTTGGAATGATATTGTTGATATCCAATAAGTGATATTTTTCTTGCCTTGCTTGTAAAGCATGCTTCTGTGCCAGTATTTATTCATCTGTCTAAACTATTCTATTTGTTTGGTTTAAGATCATTGATGTTACTTAATTGTTGACATGTGCACGATGCTGATCATTTAGATTTCGCCATTTCTTTCAGCCAAATTCTCCTATGATTCCTCTGTTGTCAAGGAAGGTCTTGCATCCTTATGACAGGAAGCTTCCTGATGAAGACGATAGTTGGTCTGTCGCTTCTTCGTATCCTCTATTTGGTGTTAAGAAGTTAAGATATGATGCTATGAGCTTGCTGTTAGCAGTTTTTCTTTTTAAGTATTATTAAGGGACTTCCCTACCCAAACTCTACCTATATTTCTCTCTTTTATTTGTTAACCTTTTTAAGGGTAGGGCTTTTGGTAGTGTAATTTCCTTTTTTGTTTTAGTTAAATTTTCCTTAGCCTGTGTCTAGTACTGCTGCATCTTTTCGAACTTCTAGATCGAGGGTAACTATTGGAACTGCTCCAACTTTTAAATGTGCTAAACGTGCTGAGAAACGGAAGGAGGTAAATTCTCAGTCCAAACAGTTGATACTTGAATTCTCTTTGCATATTCTTTCATTCATTGATTTTTTTCCCCATTTCATTTTCAAGTTATTCTAACTATAATATTTTGTTAATCCAGTTTTACCAGAAGTTAGGAGAAAAACACCAAGCTCTGGAGGCTGAGAGAAGCCAGTGTGAGGCCAGGACCAAGGTACGTAGCATTTAAAATATCCCACCCATATATTTGTGCTAGAGTCAGTCTGCTTGGACAGTCATATCTGTGACATTTATATACATTTTGATAATTAACAAAATGGGCCCTTCTTGCTTTCTTGCAGGAAGAGCAAGAAGCAGCCCTTAAGCAGCTTAGAAAGAGCATGGTTGTCAAAGCAAACCCAGTACCAAGTTTCTACTATGAAGGACCTCCACCAAAGGTCGAACTGAAGAAGGTATAATATTGAATCTTTTCTCCTTGTTTCTCTATGAGTCCTTGAAGTAGCAAGCCAAAAAAATATTTCCCTGTTGGCATCAATTGACAGGTTGAAAATAAATAACATAGACTGGACAAAAATTGGAACCTGCTTAATTCATTTTGGATGTCAATGATTAATGCCTGATGTGTAAACCACCTAAAGGCTGAGAAAGTTATTTAACATAAAATTGCTTAAAATTACTGTTTCTGAAGTTGCCAATACAGCCTAACAAGGACACACCATTTCCAATTGAAGAAGGCCTTTGGCTGAGGCATATCAACTTTCTATACAGAAATACTCAAATTTAAAATACATATCTGACATATTCCTTTTGAACAAAATCTTTATATATTCCATGCAGCTTTGGGTGGGTAATGAAACTTTTTATTCTTGATTTTACTTCATTTCAGCTGCCATTGACTCGGCCAAAGTCACCGAATCTTACTCGGAGAAAGAGCTGTGGTGACGCAATCCACTCATCTCAGGATGAAAATGCAAAAACTTGCTGCCGGACTCACCGCCACAGCTTAGGTAACCACAGGGATCGATCCACTACTGCGAACGATGTCAAAAGCAATGGTCTGGTCAGTGGACAGAGCAGTACTGGAGCTGGCAGAGTGAAAGATCGAGGAAAACAGGTAAAAGAGGCAACAAAAGCTGCTCCTAAAATCACCAAGCAGAGTAATGCTAACATCACTGTTCAGTCATGAACATCTGATTTTTACTAACTCTTAAGCAGGGAAGTGGTCTTGAATTTCGGTAGTGCCATATGGATGTCCTGAAAGGAATTAGCCTGTTTCTTTTTCAGCAGGGATGACTTGTTTTTCAGTGGTTTGCATTGATGTGAATTGTATATGTTTTGTAAGTTCTATGGTTACATATCTTGTTATATATTAGAGTTATTAATTCTAATGTGGACCAAATGCCTGGTTTTATTCTGATATTATTCTTTATGATGGACTATAATTTTCTTTTCTTTTTCCTTCTAAAATTTTCATAATGGGTTCGTTAACCATAACAATCTCTCGGAAGGTATCATGAGCAGGTAAGTGTTCATTGAACATGAACAAAAGAGGCCAACCTGAATTTAACTTAGTTCATGTAATCACTTTTAAAAAATAATATACAGTAGGTCTGAGATTTAAATTTTATATACCAACCTCTTCATACTTCTACCTTATCTTTTTTCTTTCTCTTAAATTTTAAACTCTTTTCTAACCAACCAAAATTAGAGATATAATGTTATACCAAAGTCCAAAAAATTCTATTTTGCTGGTAACATTTGATGGTCAAATGAGAAAAACAAAGAAAAACAGAATAATTTATAAAAATATAAAATCTTTGTAGCAATTAGATAAATAATGATAGAATGAATGGTCCACAAGTTCTCACTTTCGGAGCAACATTAACGCAAACAACTTAAAAATATTACGAAATCAGTTCACAGCAGCATAGGTTTTTTTGGCACTGCTCAAGTTACATGATTTTAGTTGACATTGTAGTTTCCCTTTTTACCGGTTGTCAATCATACATACAATCAAAGCTAAATTATCGAAAACAAGAAGAAGAAACATAGGTCACACATAAATTCAAAGCTAAAAAGTTCACAATTCCTATTCTATTTAAGAACCTTTTTGATCTACTTCTGTGGTTCAAGCTAAATTATGCAGAAATGCTCCACCATCTGTAATCTTAGTTTGAAACCCCATATTATGTACAATAGATATTCACATCTAAAAGCCAACCGGCTTTTTTTGGATTTTAACAGTTGGAGGTTGGGTTTTTTGAAGTCAAAGAACAAGAAATTGGTAGCAACTGCATTTTCATGTATGGGCAGACTGTGTTGAGAGTAACCTTGAATGATTATGCTCGCCTTCGTAAGTGACCATCAGCATTGAAGGGTCTTCCAGGCATCTCTCGACATGCTTCCTCGCTGGGCAACCTCTCATACTGCTACACTTATAGTATCCCCTGCATCATAAATGCTTCTCTGTTAATGGAATGGTTCCAGCAACAGGTTCAGAATAGCATAATCGGTTTAACACAAATAAAGCTTGCAACAAGAAACATTAAATTGTGTATTGGCGAAGGAAAATTGCAAAAGCTCTATATCAACAGCACGAGAATCATGTCTTTCTACAAGTGATCATGCTTAACATGTTATGGTAAAATGATTAATTCTTGCCTAAAGATCTTGGCAAGGATTTAAATTGGTCATTGATATCTTGAGTCTGTGTGAACGCCGCAATGAGTTAAAAAAATTGCCTAAAAGTTAGATATGTTGTTTCAAATTGATTCAATACTCAAAACTTGCTCAAATCAAGTCATTTTACAGCAGTAGGTTAGGCAGTCCTGTGCTTCAGCTAAAGTTAAAAGAGGCCTTGACAACGGACAAACCATTCTCTTGGCTTATTGTTGCAAAGACAAACCTTGTGTTAGCAGCATGACAGAAGCAATAGACCATAGTTGCCAATTTTCTCAAGCGCACACACATATAATTGGAAACCATTCCATCTATTACCAACTGATAAAGCCTAGCCTCCAAAAATTTTCAACAGCCAGCATAAACAGAGATGCATAAAACTGGAAACGAATTAAATAAATAAATATGAATGGTTATCTAATCCTGAAACTAGTAAACTGGTAATGACATCAAATGATAGAAAAAAAAAAAATTCGTGGGTTTGGGGTTACCTAGGGTGTGGAGAACCCTTAATTGGCTTTTGCCCATATTTCCTCCATGAATATTCATCAGGAGGAATATCTGCAACTTTGTTACTGATAGCAGGCACTTTAATAGACCTCTTAATCCTCAGTTTCCTGTAAACAACAAACAGAAATGATAAGCAAATAGAGAACAATAACATGAACTTAAACACATGAGTTAGAGATCAAAACTAACCTCCTTTTTGAACAATGGCATTTACCAGTGGTACCACATTTCATACTGCCATCTTCTCCCCTACCTGAACACCTTCTTCTTGATTGTTGTGAGATTTGATCAAAATGGTTTGGCATGCTAATTAAATGGAAGGAATTCCCATCCAAGTTAGCAACATTACCATCCATGCTCAAAGATGAGACAAATGATCTGGTTGATGACATGGTTGGTGTACAACTAGATCCATCAAATTTAAGGTTTATACCTCTATTGCTCTTGGAAAACACTATGTCAGCATGATATTTCATTTGTTGTTGCTGAAATTGCAGCCTTTGCATCTGTTGCTGATGATGAACAAAGTGGAAGTCTTGTGATGGCTTTAGTTGGGCAATGTGAAGGGAAGGGTTAACTGATGAATTCATTTCAAATGAAGGGTTCTGATCAAAGAACACCTTTTGTGTCAGCTGCAATTGATGTTTAGCTCTAGCATCAACTTCAAGGGGTGGTTTGTCAAACAGATTTGAAGGGTATACTTGAAGGGGTTTTGGTGATAAAATCGTTCTGCAATTGGGACTTTCTAGGAAGATTTTTTGAGGCAAAGTTGATATAAACTTCTTCAACTTTCTTACTCTTACATGACTCAAGTCATTGCTGAGAAGAGACACAACTTTTTTGAACTTAAACACAGCTTCATCAGTTTCCATCATTAAGTTGCTATACTGAACTTGATCCTTTGGTACAGACAAGAGACTAAGAACTTTATGACAGCTCTCGATAGCTGCCTTGTTAGCTTGTTCAACCTCCTCCATGCTCACTCAAACCTTACAAAAAACAACCCAAAACTCCTAAAAAACCTTAAAAACCAGATGAACAAAAAATTTCAATGACAACAAAATTTATCACTAACCCTTTAAACCCCAAAAATTAGTCCTTTACTCAAGGCCATTAGTACCCAAAATTAGAGACTAAGGCCTTGCCAAAAACTATAACTAGAAGAGACCAGGTTTTAAATGATTAAACACCAAAACATGAAACAAGACCAAGGCTTTGAAATTGGGTATTACTCAAAATTGAAAACTTTTTTTTGAAATTAAACATAACACATGAAAAATTGGCTATTTTCAATGGAAAAAAAAAACTGGGAATGAAATAAAACAAAAGTTAAAGTGAACAAATAACAGCTTTAAAAAAAAAAAAAAAGCTCAGATGACAAAACCTTGCTAAAATTTGAACATAAGGAGAAAGAGAAAGAGGGAGAGAGAAAGTCCTAGATTTTATCCTATTAATTGAGAGGCGTGAAAGGAGACTTTTGCCTGGTTTCATAGACTTACTAAAACCACCCAAAGAAAACAAAGCCCCTCTTTTTTCTTTAACTAAAAATTTAAAAACTATCAGAATATAAAAGCAAAGTGTGTTCTGTTCATGGCAGAAGCAAAACAGAAAGACAGTAAAAGAACTCCAGTCTCTGTCGAAGATCCTGATGTGGGTCCCAATAATGACCCATTTTTCTTTTTCTTTTTCCTTTTAATTTTACTTTTATTAACAAAATCCAAAAAATTGTTATTTAATATATCAATAATTATTTTTTTTAATGTCATACGAATTTAAAATGTTCATAAGTGTTTCTTCACATAAGTTTTAAACATATATTTATTATATTATTAAATTACATGTTATATATAAAATAATAATTTAAATTATATCATAATTTATAAAAATTATGTTTGAAAAATACCAAGATAAGTCACTTGGTAATATTATTTAGATATTTCTAAATTTGTTGACAATACAAATAATTAAAAACTTAATTAGTAAATTTATCGTAATTATCAAAAAGAAAAAATAGTGGGATATAAAAAATATGATACATTTTTACGTGCAAATGAGTGAATTATTTTAAAAATAAGAGAAAAAATAAAAAATGAAAGGTTGAGTCTCGAAATATAGTTCAAAATTTTAATTTCAACGTCATTTGATTTTTTTTCTTTTTTACGATAAATTGAACAAATCATCAATTAAGTTTTCATTTAATTTTATTTTTAATAAATCTAATAACACTTCAACAAAGATTTTAATTAAAAAATTACAAATTATTTATTCAAAAAATTTATTTTTTATTTAAAAGAAGATAATATACTATTATATAAAAAATGATTTAATTTGAACTCAAGTTTTAATATGTTTTTAAAACTTATTTATCACTAAATTAAAAAGCAAAAGACAAAAAAAAATCATTGTTACCTAAAACTTTCTAATTAAACTACTCATTAATTTATAATAATAAAATTAATTGTAGATTTTTTTTCTTTTTTCGTATATTGTCTTTCAATTTTCAATAAAAAGAAAAGAAAAAGCAAATTGCCTGTAAAAGTGGGGTCCATGGGTCCACTCTTGAGTGAGGGGCATCCCAGCTAATGCAAATGTGAAATGGCCACGGACGATAAATATTCTGCCACGTGTCTCAGCGAATGTTGACCAGGCAAAGCTTCTGTGGTCTGATAGTGCTTAATGTGGGATCCACTATGAAGAATAGTTGACTGACACAGATTCTCTTTGTCTTTCTTTTTCTGGAATTATTTTAAAACATATTTTAACTATTTTTTATTTTTTTCTTTCACTTTCAATTTTATTTTTCATCGTATATATACCATTAAGTTGAAAATTAGAAACCTTTTTTCTTTTTCAAGTGGAAATAGATTCATGTTTTTTAAGTCATAATCATCATATGAGATAGCTTTTTTTTTACAATTGTTTCAATTAAGTGTTATCCTAATTTATTAGAAAATTATAAAATTAGCTTGTTTGAAATTATTAATTCTAAAAATTTTTATATAAATGAGATTATGATTTGAATTTTTACGTGTTAAATATTATTTTTTAAAAATAATTATATAAATCAATTGAAAAAAAATTTATATTCGATTTTTAAAAATTTTTATTTATCCTCTTAAAATTATTTGGCACATATCAATTGAAAATAAAAATTTCTACTACATGGAATTTAACTATTACTATCATATTTCTCCATTTGCTTGATAAAATTTGATTAGAAAAATATCACAATAATTTATTTATAAACACTTGGATGATTTGAATATACCTTTGCCTAAATAAATAAAAATGACTTTATTAACAAATTCAAATTTTTAAAATAACAATAATATGTGGTGAAAAATACTTATTGTATAATTGAAAACCTAACAATTTCAATAAAAATTGAAAGAAGGAATCATTATTTTTTTAATTCTATCACTTGATTTTTGTTAGGGTTCAAAGAAAATTTGGACCTCATTACTCCATGATGACTACCATGCCAAGTAAAAAAAATTGTGTATTACATTATGTTTTATAGGATTTAGGAGGAAATAAAATTGAAGGGTTAGAAAGAAAACTATAAAATTGAAGGGTTAGAAAGAAAACTATCTCCTTTTTTTTTTTTTTCATTTTTTTTCGTTCTTTTTCCTTTATTATCAAACACAATGTTACAGTTAATCAAGACTAAACTTAATTTTCATATGTTTTTAAGGTCAAAAGTGAAGGCAAACAATAACTAAAAAATGTCAAACAGTGAATTGAATAGAGAAAGGGGAGACATATATTAATTTTGATAAATTCAATTACTGATCTATAATGATATAAAAAAATTTTGAACTTTGGCTCCACCCATGCATAAGGTAATTCAAAAACAAATTTCCCTCATGTTTTTAATTTTCATGTATTCTTAAGGTAAGTTTGAATCTCATAATTCTTATTTGCAATAAAAAAAAAAACAAATTAAAATCTTCTAAAAATAAAAGAAATGGAAGAAACCCATAAAAAATAATTATAAAATCTATATTTTAGTTTTTTTTTTAATTTTCTTTTGGCTTCAATTTTTATTTCCAAAAAATAATCTAATTTTTATTTCCTTTCATTTTTTCTCTTTCTCTTGTCAAATGGGCTTTTAAGTTCTCTTGTTGAGCAAGCAAACAAAATGCTAGAATTGAATCCCTACCCTAACAACCATTTTATAATTTAAGGGAATTTTTTAAAATAAAATAATTGAATATATTATTTATGGCATAAAAGAAGGAAGAAAAATGGACATGACAGGCATCTACCCCATTGGGTTACCCCATCAATTCCTCAAAATGTTGATCTATTGTCAAATATTTATGCGGATTGACATCATATTTCTCCAATTAAATTTCATTTATTTGGAAACTTATGCAAGCTCTAATGATATCCTTACTAGGCAAAAACAAAGGAAATGATGATAAACTCACATTTTATTATTATTATTTTTTTATATTTGATGCATTGTTAGTATATAGATTTTATATAATGTTAGTAAATCAGATATTGATAATTCATTAATAAAAAAAATTAGATGATAATACTTTATTACTGAGTAAGTTTATAAAAAAATTTAATTTGTGTATATTTATTTTAAGAGTTAATATTTGTTCATTAATAAAATATTATCATCTAATTTATTAATAATGTATAAAATCTATTTACTGATAATATATCAAATATAAAATTTTTTTAATTGAAGATTTTCATAATCTCTCATATTAAAATCACTTGATATAAGCATATTTTTAACTACAATTGACTTTGACACACTTTCATATTATAGTCTCTCTCTCTCTTAATATAATACATCAATGCTAAATGGCCAAACTCCCAAAGTCATTTCACTTGACAAACATTATCATGTAGGAAAGTCATCTCAAAATCCCTTGCTTCTTTAATTTAATCAAGAAAGTGCTAATTTTGTTGACTTATGCACCAATAATTGAATATGAGGTGTTCTATAAGCTTACAACTATACATCAACATGACCATATGATAATATTTTTTTTTATACATATGATGATTTATGTCTTAAAGTTACATAATGCAAATAGTTTCATCCATCTATAAAGCAACCTTTATAATACATTCATATGTTTTCCAAAGAAATTTGTACTTTAATGTTGTATATTTGAAGATTCATTGGTCAATTTTGAGTTACATAATGAAAATATTTTCTCACTTAAAATGGTAAAATGAACTTAAACCAAAAAATTCGTTTGAAAAAAAATTAAATTCAAATAATTTCAAACTTAAATTGACAAAAAAAAAAAAAAATCAAAGACTCACAATTCAAAATCCTTCAAATTGTAAACAATTTAAAACTTGAACTAATCCAAAATAAAATTAGATTTGATATCAAAATTGCAAAATTTAATTAATAATTTTATTGTAAATTTAATTTAAATATGATCTAAACTTAAAACAATTCAATTTAAAAAAATTTCAAACCCGAAAAGATTCATACGTAAAATTCGTGCTTGAAGTAATCCAACCGTAACCAATCTATTGCCAACTTCTAAATTATCAATCCATAAATCCTTCCATCTTATACAAGATGCCTAATTCTTCTTGCAAGAATATTTAGTTGGAGATGGAGGAAAATTTTTATTATTTTATTAAGATGCCTAAATATCTAATCAAGCTACATTAGATTACACTAACTGGAATATTCAATTTCTAGATAGTAAGCAATCAATTTTATTAGTACCCGGCACGCAACTATGACTTTGGAAATTGTCTTGATTATATTAATTGTCAAAAGAGAATGTGCAAAGCGAAGCAAAGCAAATTTTCTTTGATTAATAGAAAGATTTGAATTCGATAAGATTAATAAATTATTAAACAAATGGGTCCTCAGGTCTTGATGTCTCTTAAATTTAACGATTTGTATATTCGTGTCATGTAAAATATTAAAATTTATTTATTTATATCGTATTTCATATGAGAATTATATATCACAATTTATTTTTACACAAAAATTTAAATATATTTTTTATTTTATTTAATTTATATATAGTTATTATTAAAATTTTAGATTATGTTACTTTTGTATCTTATTTTCGTATTAAATTTATATTACGATATCATATTATATTTTAAATTATTAAGTTTAATGTCTCTAATTAAATTCAAAGCATGTTCTCATTATTATTTTTTAGCAATAATGATTTTTAAGTTTCATACAATTTTTTTGAATAAGTATAAACATATTTATTTACCTCATATTTAATAAATTAATAAAAAATTACTTTTTAACAAACTTTAAAAAAATTCGAAAAAAATAGCACAACTATATGAGTTTGACTATACATGCATTACTAGGACAAAATATATA